GTGTTGAAGTGATATAAAAAGAAGATAAAAGAGCTATTGTTGCAGAAAAATGGAGGCAATAATGGATCAAATGGAAGGCATACTAAACTTAATCAAAGATGAGGATTTAGAAAAGCTAGGCTCTGTGAACCAAAATTTGGAAAAATAAGAAAAAAGTGGTAGGCTCTGTGAACCAAAATTTGGAGAAATAAGAAAAAAGTGGTAGTTTAACCGTGAATAAATAAGGAGAAACTACCAAATGAAATATTACATACAAGAAACAAAATGGAAACAAATTTTTGCAAATTTGAAAAGCGTAAAAGGAATACACAGTAAAAACGAAGATCGGATAAGAAGGTTCATGGAATCAGTGTGGTACATGGCTCGAAGTGGTTGCCAATGGCGACTTTTACCAGAAATATATGGCAATTACAGAAGCGTACATAAGAGATTCAAAAAGTGGTGTGAAAAGGGAATTTGGGAAAAGCTGCTCAAATATACACAAGATCCAGATTTGGAAGTGCAAATGATAGATGGAACAATCGTTAGAGCACATGCTTGTGCGGCTGGATACAAGAAGGATACCGGAGCTCAAGAAGCACTGGGACGCAGCAAAGGTGGCTTTACAACAAAGATACATGCTCTTGTTGATGCTCTGGGAAATCCGCTTAAATTTACTTTAACTGCTGGTCAAAGGAACGATATTACACAGGCTGAAGCATTAACTGAGAATGTCTCAAATTCAGTTGTGGTGGCCGATAAGGGCTATGATAGTAATGCTTTTATTGTGGGTCTTGAGAATAAAGGGTGTGAGGTTGTTATTCCTCCGAAGCGTAACCGAAAAGTGCAGAGGTATTATGATGAGCATATTTATAAAGAACGTCATTTGATTGAATGCTTTTTCGGCAAAATAAAACATTTTAGGCGGATTTTTTCAAGATTTGATAAGACTGCCACGGTTTATTTAGGCTTTTTAAACTTCGTTGGGGCCCTCATATGGCTTGCTTAAAATTTTGGTTCACAGAGCCTAGGTAGTGTAGACATTCAAAAAGAAAGGAGTTATAATAACAATTTTTGAGAGAAGCTAAGGATGTTATACGACTTAAAAGATAAGCAATGGGAAAGGATAAAGGAGAGTTTACCCGGAAAGAAAGGGGATAGTGGAAGGAGTGCAAAGGACAACAGAAAGTTCATAGCAGCAGTGATGTGGATAGGGCGAACAGGAGCGCCATGGAGAGCTTTGCCTGAAGAATATGGCAAGTGGTTTAGTGTGCATAAAAGATTCATAAGATGGGCAAAAGCAGGTGTGTGGCAGATGATTTTCAATACTCTAGCTGTAGACGAAGACACGGAATGGCTGATGATAGACTCAACAATAATAAGGGCACATCAGCATGCAGCTGGTGCTAAAAAAAAATGAGGAGACTGAAGAGGAAAATCAGGGATTGGGGCGATCTAAAGACCCCAACTATGGATTAAAAATCACTGAAAAAGTTAAGAAAATAGGGTAAACTCTGAGATATTTTATCTTAAAAAATAGAGAGGTTACCCATGAAGAAGAATATAACAGAATTATTTTGCCTAATCGACGATTTTTGCAATATGGTCGACAAAAATTTTGCAGAAAAACTCCTATCAAGGAGCAAAAAACCTACGAGAGTACCAGAGATTACGCATTCTGAAATTCTTACAACTGTGCTACTTTATCACCAATCGCCATGTAAAAATTTCAAATTTTTCTACCTATTTTACCTAAAATTATTGTACAAATCCGAATTTCCCAAATTACCTTCATATGATAGATTTATTGCCTTAAAACCTAGGATTTTGTGGTATTTATCGCTACTTTTGCAATGGTTTTGCGAACAAGCAAAGATGACAGGAATTTCGTATATTGATGCCACTTCGATAGCGGTTTGCCATCAAAAAAGAATTTCAAGGAACAAAGNCTAGGCTCTGTGAACCAAAATTTGGAGAAATAAGAAAAAAGTGGTAGTTTAACCGTGAATAAATAAGGAGAAACTACCAAATGAAATATTACATACAAGAAACAAAATGGAAACAAATTTTTGCAAATTTGAAAAGCGTAAAAGGAATACACAGTAAAAACGAAGATCGGATAAGAAGGTTCATGGAATCAGTGTGGTACATGGCTCGAAGTGGTTGCCAATGGCGACTTTTACCAGAAATATATGGCAATTACAGAAGCGTACATAAGAGATTCAAAAAGTGGTGTGAAAAGGGAATTTGGGAAAAGCTGCTCAAATATACACAAGATCCAGATTTGGAAGTGCAAATGATAGATGGAACAATCGTTAGAGCACATGCTTGTGCGGCTGGATACAAGAAGGATACCGGAGCTCAAGAAGCACTGGGACGCAGCAAAGGTGGCTTTACAACAAAGATACATGCTCTTGTTGATGCTCTGGGAAATCCGCTTAAATTTACTTTAACTGCTGGTCAAAGGAACGATATTACACAGGCTGAAGCATTAACTGAGAATGTCTCAAATTCAGTTGTGGTGGCCGATAAGGGCTATGATAGTAATGCTTTTATTGTGGGTCTTGAGAATAAAGGGTGTGAGGTTGTTATTCCTCCGAAGCGTAACCGAAAAGTGCAGAGGTATTATGATGAGCATATTTATAAAGAACGTCATTTGATTGAATGCTTTTTCGGCAAAATAAAACATTTTAGGCGGATTTTTTCAAGATTTGATAAGACTGCCACGGTTTATTTAGGCTTTTTAAACTTCGTTGGGGCCCTCATATGGCTTGCTTAAAATTTTGGTTCACAGAGCCTAGGTAGTGTAGACATTCAAAAAGAAAGGAGTTATAATAACAATTTTTGAGAGAAGCTAAGGATGTTATACGACTTAAAAGATAAGCAATGGGAAAGGATAAAGGAGAGTTTACCCGGAAAGAAAGGGGATAGTGGAAGGAGTGCAAAGGACAACAGAAAGTTCATAGCAGCAGTGATGTGGATAGGGCGAACAGGAGCGCCATGGAGAGCTTTGCCTGAAGAATATGGCAAGTGGTTTAGTGTGCATAAAAGATTCATAAGATGGGCAAAAGCAGGTGTGTGGCAGATGATTTTCAATACTCTAGCTGTAGACGAAGACACGGAATGGCTGATGATAGACTCAACAATAATAAGGGCACATCAGCATGCAGCTGGTGCTAAAAAAAAATGAGGAGACTGAAGAGGAAAATCAGGGATTGGGGCGATCTAAAGGTGGTTATTCAACCAAATTACATGCTGCTTGTGATGCTCTTGGCAACCCATTAAGGTTTTTTGTTACTGCTGGACAAAGGTCGGATTATGTAAAGGCTTTAGACTTAGTGGAAGGCAAGAAAATGGCAGCACTTATTGCAGATAAAGGGTATGACGCAAATTATATGATTAAAGCGGCAGAAGCTATCAATGCTGAACCGGTTATTCCACCACGTTCCAATAGAAAAACACCAAGAGAATACGATAAAGAGCTTTATAAAGAGAGAAATCTCATCGAAAGAATGTTCAATAAACTCAAGAATTTTCGTAGGGTTGCTACTCGTTATGATAAATTAGCTATTTCTTTCTTATCTTTTGTCCATATTGCTTCTATATATCTTTGGTTAAAATAAATGTCGACACTACCTAGTCAGAGAATAGGTAAAGTTAATAGATACTTAGTTTATAATTGATATGATTTATAAAATTTCAGGGCAATTACCAATGAAGATTTATAAAAAAAATGCTCTTATAGTGAAAAGCGCAATAGACTCTTGGAAAGCGCAAGAAATTATATCAGAGGATCAAGCAAACAGGTTAAATTGTAGTATAGAAATCGTTGAGTTTGACTGGAAAAAGCTTAGTATGCTTGCCATTTTATTTTCAATACTTTCTTTTATTATTGCAGCTATTTCGTTCATACCTGAGTTACAAAAGTATTGTAAAGATGAAAGAGTACAATGTGTGCTTTTAGCAATTGCAGCTACATCATGCTATGTTTTTGGAGCATACAGAAAAGCAAAATGGCCTGAAAAAAATTATAGTAATGAAGGTATATTTTTTCTTGGTGTGTTGTTTACCGCAGCAGCTGTTTTTGTATTTTCTATAGTATTAGAAGTGAGGTTTAACATTACAAGCGATAACTTATCTAGTATTATTTTAATTTCGTATATCATATACGCGATATTGGGTATATTGCTAAATTCAAAACTAATTTGGTGCTTTTCATTATTTTCTTTAGGAGGATGGTTAGGTGCTGAGACAGGTTATGTTTCTGGTTGGAGTGCCTATTATTTAGGAATGAACTATCCTTTAAGATTTGTATTGTTTGGGTTATTTTTAATCAGTTCATCAGTATCAATGGTGTTGCACAGAAAAACTTTGCAACTGCATAGACCTACAGTAATAGTAGGGATGCTCTACTTATTTATTTCTTTGTGGATTATGTCAATACTTGGTAATTATGGTAATCTAGATAATTGGTGGGAAGTGAAGCAGATAGAATTGTTTCACTGGTCACTGATTTTTGCTTTAGTTGCTGGAGGTGCAATCTATTATGGCTTAAAACATGATGACTCAGTTGTAAAAAACTTTGGTGTTACTTTTCTTATGATTAATTTTTATACTAGATATTTTGAACACTTTTGGAATCATACTCATAAGTCTATATTTTTTGGAATATTAGGTTTAAGTTTATGGATTTTAGGAATGAAAGCTGAAAAGATTTTTAATATCGGTTTGACTTATAGTACAAAAAGTAACCAGAATTGATTTTTTGCATTTTTTCTTCTTTCTCTTATGTTAAAATTCCTGTCATTAGATCTCTTGCATACTGACTGCAATTTTGTTGTCAAAATTTGCTTACGCTCCTCAAATACATCCAAGTATTCTGTGGTGCACTTCTCCTCTTACCATAAATCAATTTTGAAAGAAGTCTATTTACTTCCTCTTGTACTTTTTCTGA